CCATCATCAGCGTAATATCCGAAGTTTAAGTTAGGTCAGGGACCGGGTCAGTTAACACCTAGAAGGCTAGGACTGCTGGAAACATGAGGAAAAGACTGTCCCAAGTTACCCCGCAAAATTTCGATTTTTGATAAATTGAGGTCTGGACCGAAGATGGGAAAACTATAACCAATGCCCTTTTGCGAACGTTATTGTCTGTGTATGATCTAACAACCCAGCGAGACTAATTAGCCAAATCTGCATTTCACTCCTTGCACTAGGGTCAACTTGTCAATGATTGACATATTTTGTCAAAAACCCTATTATGCAGTTTCCTGTTTCTGAAATACTAATAGTGATGTCATGTACCTCTTCTACCTTTTCGCGCGTGCCCTGAGGCCTTTGAAACAAAACCCTGCCGCGGGTTTGCGCTAGGAACCCCCGTCGCTGAATGGCAGCACCAACTAGTGGTACAGGGCAGACTGTCACAAGTTACCCTCGGTGTCCCAAGTTACCCCCGTTGACGGTATTTCTTGGGTATTTCTCATCCGCGTACGTACGTACATACGCACGTACGTACGTGGAAACGCGACCTTCACTTGAAAGGCCCTCTGAGCCTTTGCCGTACGAGAACCATGTTCTCGTAGCGGCCGAAAGACCATAATTGGTGGTGAAGGGATGATAAAATTAGAACTCCACAAAAAAAATATTTTTGACTCAACCTTCCCGCCGGTGCGAGAACCATGTTCTCGTGCCCTAAAAGCCCAAATGCCGGTACGAGAACATGGTTCTCGTCCGGAGCTGTTTTCGTTCAAGAACCTCTAAATCTGATGGGGTAACTCGAACCGAAAATGCGATTCCATATCACCTTCACGCCGGTGCGAGAACCATGTTCTCGTCGGTTCTCGTACGCTACAAGCCTAAATGCCGATGCGAAAACATGGTTCTCGTGTTTGCGATCCGTCACTGCCGGCACGAGAACATGGTTCTCGTGCCAAATTACATGCTAGAGACCTAAATTTTTAGCCGAAATGTTGGAAATTTTACGTAGATTCCGAATATGGGATCGCATTTTCGCTACGAGTAAACCCCAACTGATTTAGATGTCTTGAACGGAAACAGCTCGCGACGAGAACCATGTTCTCGTATCAGCATTTGGGCTTTTCGCCCGTGTAAAAACGAATTGTTCCGAAATCTTGCCGCCAGCCGTCCGAAAGAGCCCCCGCCACCTCGGGCTGTCCCCAGAAGCGTCCGAATGCCCTCGGACGATTCCGTGGTTAGCTCGCGAAGGGGCCGCTGTTCGGACGGGCCAGACCGATATGTGTCCGGGACTCCCTGGAAAGTCCGGGTCGGTCCGCCGGGAGTCCGGGGCAGCGGACTTACCCGGAATACGTCCGAGGAAAGTCTCCCCTCCGGACTGTTTTCGGAACTCTGTACCGTTTCCCCCTCGCTTTGGGACTTAGACAAATGTTCCATTAGCGGAGCTACAGTTGAGGTGTGTCGAAGTGATTCCGCAATGTTCAATCTCAAACATTCGCCTTTCGTAAGGAAATTTAGAATTAAAAACTCGCGCTGCTCGCTGGGGGCTCCGCCCCCAGACCCCCGCATGTGTGAGGCGCGTGCCGAAGTATTTTCAGTACGTCCAAGGTGACCAAAGGCAAATTTTACAAGGAAGTAAATGTACTGCTTCTTTGAAAGGTCTATTTAACAACTTTTGACCATATAATTAAGCTACTTTTACTGCCCAAATAGACAGCTTTTATTGCATTGGCTACTGTGGCAGTCAATGGGTGCACACAAGGTCCGGAAAATATTGAAGACTGCTTTGACAAGGATAGAGGTGAATGGAAAAAACCGAAAGTCTCTACGACCACCCCTTGACCCCAAACATTTCTATGAGTGAGTCAGTCAGTCAGTGTCAGTCGGATTGCCGGTGACGGGACCCGATTGCGGCACAGTATCGGAAATGTCGCGACCAGACCTGCCGATAGAGCGAATAAAAATTTTCAGTCGGTCGGTCCCCTTTTTTAAAGATTGAGTGGATTTTGTTAAATTAAGGCCTATTTTATCGTTTTTGAGGATGTTGCCGGTGACGGGGACCCGATTGTGGCATAGTTTCGGAAATGTCTCGACCAGGCCTACCGATGGGGCGAATAAAATTTTTTAGTCGGTCGGTCCCTTTTTTTTGAAGATTGAGTGGATTTTGTTGAATTTAGGCCTATTTTATCGTTTTGAGGATGTTGCCGGTAACGGAGACCCGATTGTGGCATAGTTTCGGAAATGTCTCGACCAGACCTACCGATGGGGCGAATAAAAATTTTTAGTCGGTCGGTCCCCTTTTTTGAAGATTGAGTGGATTTTGTTGAATTTAGGCCTATTTTATCGTTTTCAGGATGTTGCCGGTGACGGGGACCCGATTGCGGCACACTTTCGGAAATGTTTCGACCAGACCTACCAATAGGGCGAATAAAAATTTTCAGTCGGTCGGTCCCCTTTTATGAAGATTGAGTGGATTTTGTTGAATTTTGGCCTATTCTATCGTTTTTGAGGATGTTGCCGGTGACGGGGACCCGATTGCGGCACAGTTTCAGAAATGTCTCGACCAGACCTACCGATGGGGCGAATAAAAATTTTCAGTCGGTCGGTCCCCTTTTATGAAGATTGAGTGGATTTTGTTGAATTTTGGCCTATTCTATCGTTTTTGAGGATGTTGCCGGTGACGGGGACCCGATTGCGGCACAGTTTCAGAAATGTCTCGACCAGACCTACCGATGGGGCGAATAAAAATTTTCAGTCGGTCGGTCCCCTTTTTTGAAGATTGAGTGGATTTTGTTGAATTTAGGCCTATTTTATCGTTTTCAGGATGTTGCCGGTGACGGGGACCCGATTGCGGCACACTTTCGGAAATGTTTCGACCAGACCTACCAATAGGGCGAATAAAAATTTTCAGTCGGTCGGTCCCCTTTTATGAAGATTGAGTGGATTTTGTTGAATTTTGGCCTATTTTATCGTTTTTGAGGATGTTGCCGGTGACGGGGACCCGATTGCGGCACACTTTCGGAAATGTTTCGACCAGACCTACCAATAGGGCGAATAAAAATTTTCAGTCGGTCGGTCCCCTTTTATGAAGATTGAGTGGATTTTGTTGAATTTTGGCCTATTTTATCGTTTTTGAGGATGTTGCCGGTGACGGGGACCCGATTGCGGCACAGTTTCAGAAATGTCTCGACCAGACCTACCGATGGGGCGAATAAAAATTTTCAGTCGGTCGGTCCCCTTTTTTGAAGATTGAGTAGGTTTTGTTGAATTTAGGCCTATTTTATCGTTTTTGAGGATGTTGCCGGTGACGGGGACCCGATTGCGGCACAGTTTCGGAAATGTCTCGACCAGACCTACCGATGGGGCGAATAAAAATTTTTAGTCGGTCGGTCCCCTTTTTTGAAGATTGAGTAGGTTTGCTCGGAAACTGTGAGAAATTTGTTCCCCTTTTTCGAAGATTGAGTAGGTTTGCTCGGAAACGGTGAGGAATTTTCAACTTTTGGGATTTTTCCCAATCTAACCATAAAATTTGGAATCGAATGGAAAAAACCGCAAGTCTCTACGACCACTCCTTCACCCCAAACATTTCTATGAGTGAGTGAGTGAGTGAGTGAGTGAGTGAGTCAGTCAGTCGGATTGGGGCTTTATAGGTTCTTGATTTATTGGAAATACAGCAATTTTTTGTCGTTACTGTGTATGTGCCGAAACAAATACCACAAAACGTGGTTTAAATTGCAAGAATGCATTCAGTCAATTAATTTAAATTGTTTCGTACAACCGGAGAAACATGAAACTTTAAATACAGGTATGCATAAGAAAACGTGTTGGACGTAAAATATTTTAAATTCGAGGTCCCCTTGAGAAATCCCCACTCTTCTATCTTGAAAATCGCGCCTCCCAGCGCCCAGAGGAAGGAGCGGAGCGGAGAGCGCAGCGCAGAGTCAGTGAAGAGGCTCACCGGAGCCCCCAGTCCTCATCTGTCGGGTTAGCTCAGTTGGCTCCGACGTCAGCACTGGTGTGCAAAGACAGAGAGGAAGGCGGGAAGCGAGGGTTCGAATACGGCTTGCCTCTGGCTCACCGCCGTCGGATTTTTTTCGGAACCGAGACTCGGACAGTCCGAAACCAGCCCGCATTTCGGTTCTCGGACACATCCGTAAAGTTGCCGATTTGGGAACATTCTGGAGCTTCGTCGGACTAGCCCGACGGACCTCTTTCGGGCTGGAACCCCGCTCGGACAGATCTCGGAGCAAATAATTTTTATAAGGGCGCGTACGAGAACATCACTGTTAAAAAAAAATTACTGAAAATTCATAATTTTTTGTAAGAAGTCGACGAGGGGGAAATCACTCGCGTAATAGTCGGGTCACCGATTCCTGGTATTACGCGTAATAGTAATAGCGTAATAGCCAAATTTCTTAAAATTTCCCCTATTCAGGGTCCGATTTTAGCCTAAATCTGGATATTTTTGAGCGTAATAAGCCTTCTGTAATAGCGTAATAGAACGTAATAGGGAGTAGTTGGGTCACAGTTTTTAAGAGTGATTTCCCCCTCGGAAGTCGATTTACTTACATTCAGTCTGAATTTTCATACCAAAACTTTCATACTTCGCGGTCTGAAAGTTTCAGACGACGTTAGTCTGAATTTTCAGATCAACATGTTGTATGAAAAATGATACCAGTCGGTCTATTTTATCAGACAAAGTTGTACGAAGAATATGAACAGTCGCACTAAACATTAAACAATGCCACTCTGTAGAGTAGAGCTCAATACGGCGAACTTTTGCCATCGGTTTATCGTACACGCTCAGCGGATCGTCTCGGCTCAAAAATTAGGTACACGGCAGTAGACTCCTACTTGCAAAGGTAGTGAAGAGGCTAGAGGTGACTGCTGAATTGCGAGGGAGAGCGGCCTTAGCCCAACCACGCGCCGACCCGTGGCCATGCGCGAGAGTGAAACCAAGACAAGAACACTGGCAATAAAAATGAGTTTGAACTTGAAATTTATTGATTAGAATAGAACGCAAAAGCAAAGCCACATTAAGGATACAGGTTTGCTAACGCCGTAGTCGGGTAAGTCTGAACTTCATAAGCAATAATCAAATAAATTTGGAAAAAAATGTACATTAGAGAAATAACAAACGCGAAACGCTCTTTTCTTACAATCTTAATTCCATCTGAAGTCACCGGACTCATTCTTTAACACCTCTCTTGAGAAGATTTGTGAAGAAGAGTATAGAACTAAAGATTGGCCATCCGCCACACTAATCCACTCGTCCGCGATCAAATGTCGACACAGGTGAAGTTTGTCCGAGCAGGTCACTCAGTCGTCGACCCAGGTGAACTTTCCCAGAGGAGGGAACGCAGGACACTTGTCGCACTCCGCGCACAACACCGTCACCACCCTGGAGGGCCTCCCGTCGGCCTCCAGCAGGCTGGCCCAGATGGCCTGCTTCTGCCTTCGGCAGGACTCCTCCCGGTGAGGCAGCTTGTTGTCGGGGAAGCCGGGCGCCTCCCCACGGCGCAGCACCACGCGTCGCAGCGCAGTCAGTCCGCATCCCCCCAGCCCCTCGGCCAGGTCGGCGAAGTGCCACGACGTGCTGCCCTCCGACGCGCACAGCACCCTCAGCTCCTGCAGCGTGGCGGCGTGGGCTGTGGGGCATAGAATAACACCGTAGAATAACAAGCCCCGAGACGTAGATTACCGAACACTCTCATTCACGTTGAAATGATTGTGACAAAATGTCACGTTCCTTCTGAGCATTGTGTCACGTTCGTTTGGACGTGAATCAGCCATAAATTAGCTCATTCGAGTAGGAACGAACGTGACTACGCTCAAAGGAACGTGACATTTTGTCACGTTCATTTCAACCTGGTCGAGCTCCTGGAATGAGAGTGTAACAGGCCATTTTTTTTCAGTAGTAACTCTCGAGAAAACAAAAAACAACTTTCAAATTTTGGAAATATTAATGTTTGGTTATATTAGTAGAAATTTTGGAGACTTTTTAAAAGTTTGGCGCCTGACTCAAAATATGCACCCATGGGTACTAACAAAAAAACAATGCTGAAAGCACCTTAATAAGTGTTATTAAGTAAGCCCCACTAAGTTTCATGAATCTACAATGTAAAACAAAGGAGAAATTAAAATAGTTTTTGCTACATTAAGAATGTTTTCCCATCCACTCTCGGTAGACTCCGTCTAAGCCAAACCTAAAATGAACCATTTTTTTCTCCTCTTTTTACCCATAGTAGATCCATGAAAATTTGTGGAAGTTTGGACTACTGCTAAAAGTCCTTTCAGAATTTTTCTGGTCAAAATCCATGGGCGCATATTTTGAGCCAGGAAAAAAAACTTCAAGTTACAAATACTTGCGCCATACCTTCAAATAACTTTCAAAACATCTGAAACTTGTTGTTTAGCGTCTTCTTGTCAAGGAGTCACCAAAAAAATTTTGGTCGAGTCGGGACAACCTTTTATCGGTAGAGACAAAGATGTTAAAACTATGCCCCTAAAAGGGCGTAAACGATGTACGCCTTGGAACGGCGTGAATCATTAAAATTTAGACTGCAGGTTAAGAACTGTTGGAAATACTTCCAAATTCAAATTCGAGAAGCTAGACAAATATTGAACCTTTTAGAAAGAAGTCCTGTGCCACACTTAGACGTGCAAAGTTCGCAGCCTCCACACTTCAAACGAGGAGTTGTCGGCGTTTGCATCATGCTATGAGATAGGGGCTTCGTGACATGGCTGAAAACTCTGCACGTCTAAGTGTGGAGACTTACTCCACACCAGGAAAGGTGGACATGTCTACGTTTGGTTTCCCAGTGTTGTTACTCTAATATGGAACGCACCTTTGGCCAGTGACGTGACGGTGGACAGGGGCCGCAGCGAGACGCACAGCCACTGCACGCCACAGTGGCCGGCCGGCAGGGGCGGGAAGGCCACGTCGAGCGGCGCGTGCGTCCACTCCAGGGCCAGCTTGCGCAGCCCCGCCATGCGCTGGACCGACTCCAGGTGCTGCCGACGGACGTTCACGACGGTCAAGTCCTGCAGCTGGCGTGGCAGGTCCGGGGCCTCCGCACCCAGCTTGGCGTTGTGGACGTACAGGTAGCGCAGCTCGGGCATGTCCTTGATGACCAGGAGGTGCTCCCGGTTGGCCTTGCGCACCCACAGCCGCTGCACGCGCGGGGCCACCCGCTCCAGCAGCAGCTTGCACCAGTGCGGGCGCCGCTCGCAGTCCATCCCGAGCACCTTCTTGACCTGCAACAAGGTCATTGAACCACTATGTACAAAACGTTTCAAAATGCGCCAAATAGTGCAAAGCTCATGCACAACAAACTGCGTAGTATTTTGGAGTAAGCCACATTTGCGAGTGTGCACTCTAAGATCCACGAAGCGGAAGAAGGGGTTAAGTCGAGTTGAATCTGTGCACTTTTAAAAGGCCTGAACCTTGCAGGTGGGAGAACAGGTGGGGAATGTCATCTAAAAATACATGCAAGAGGATGGGACTTGTCTCACCACACTTATTTTTGGACCAAATTTTCGCTCACGTTTACTTGATAGACTGATAAGAGGTCACTGAATCAACGCGACTTAACCCCTTCTTCCGCTTCGTGGATCAGTGTTGAACAGTGAAGATTCTCCATTTTATGATGAAAATGCTACATATTATGGTGGTGCAACTGACTTAACATACCATAAAGGATTCACTGTACCTTCCCACGCGGGAAAATCTGCGGTCTTAATTGTACCCAGGAACTGATGTCACACAATACTTTGAAGAGACTAAGGAGGGCAGTTGTAGTGTGACTCAGTTGTTCTTTTTGGGTGTTCACAAATGTGCTATTTTGTTTGTAGCATAATTATAAATATTTAGACGAATTTCGGTTGGATTATGGAGAAAATCTCCACCATCTTATCTTAGTGCAGTCTTTCACGGTCAGACATTAGTGTGAGACACGGTTTGTCCCATTGTACACTGGGAATGAAAGAGTCACCACCATCGCGACGCAAGCGCACGGTGAAAACGGATCCTGGTTTTCCAAGTAAGCCTATAGTGAAGACATAGGCGATTTCCAGGAAGTTCCTGAGAAAAGCGGGAACCGTTTTTACCGTGCATCGTCGCTGAACTCGTATATCAAAGTAAACTCATAGGGTCGCACGGAGAATATTGACAAACGAATCGACAGAATTTTCGGTAGCCTTTTGCCGCAGTGGGCCCTGAAATGCTACACTTGGAATCACAGTGCACGTCTTACTTACCTCGCTCAAGCCAGGGTCATGCAGCACCTCGTCCAGGTGGCCGTGGTCCTCCCTCGTGCAGTAGTCCTTGACGTGCAGACACTCATTGCGACGGAAGGCAACCTCGTCTGCAGTCACCTGCGGTCCGCCGACCTGCGAACAAATTAGTCCATTTCACGATAAACGAAAACGTAGCAGAGCCCTCTCACACTGCGAGAAAAGATCACGGTAAATCCTGTACTGATTACTCCAGACTTCACCGTACTTTATTTAACAGGCAAAACCGTCGTTTTTTTACAGGCAACACCGTACTTTTTTTTACAGGCAACACCGTACTTTTTTTACAAGGAATCCCGTACTTTTTTACCCGGCAATCCCGTACTTTTAATACCTATCAAAAACTGCTATAATTTATTTCAGTCGGTCGACCCTTGTTTTTCAAGATTCAGATGTACATAACTGCTGAAGTCGGACTCCTGGACCCCCTTTCCGACCACTCGTTGAAAAGGTCTTGACGAGACCTATCGAAAGGTGCAATAAAATTTTTCAGTCGGTCGATCCCCTTTTTTCAAGATCCTGATGTGGACAATTCTTGGGAGCGGCCTTTGTTGGGACCAGATCTGGTCCTTCCTACGGCATGCACTGTACGAATGAACGGTAACTACTGATAAAAAAACTACGGAATATTTTGTAAAACAAGTCCGGAAAATACTGTAGACTGTACGCCCTTGCAAAAAGGAAAATATATGGAAAATATGTGTCAATATATGACTCCATATATGTTTCATGCATTGTCAATATAATTGTATCTTGCTCAATATATTGCAAATTATCTTGCGCCATACGTGGTTTATATATGGGGGTACATCTTGGTGCCCGTTAATATATGATGCATATATTTCCCCATATAATATTACCTTCCCGAAATGTATGTTTCAATATCTGACACGGTGCCCGTCGTGGGATGGTGCAGGGTGAGGAGGGCAGACTTTTCAAGTAACTTTTCTTAAAATCTTGGCACTTGATGTTGAAAGGCGGCTATATTTCTCAACATGATTTTATCTTGTAAAATATATTGACGCCATATATTGAGCAGGGGCAAGGTTCTTTTCTATGCGTTTAAGTCTCTAAGAAATTTTGAGAAATCCTGTTTAACAAGTTAACGGGAACAGTTCGGAAATTTTAAATGTCTTTTTTGGGTGTAGCGCGAAAAGTTCTTCTAAGAGAATACGGTAGGATCACTATTGGATGTCCTCGTAAGGCGAAGTTTACATTCTTTGCTAATAGTAAAGGAAGTCTCTGAGTCGTCAGACTCCATGGTGTGTTGACATTATATATTGCCTACATATATAGAGCAATGTATGAAATTTATATATTTGCCACATATTTTCTGTATCGGAAAAGTATCTTGCTAAATTATCTTTTACACATATGTCGTCAATACATGTTGGGCCATATATTTTGGCCATATAATGCCCATATATTTTCCATTTTGCAAGGGCGGTGGATACTGGTTTTTGAAGTATGGTAAAGTTTGGCAAAAAAATTATCCAGGATTTACCGTCATTTTTTCTCAGAGTGAAGGGTGCGAGAGAGACAGATCGACGAAAGCAATGGACGGAATAAGCCTGCAGGTCGCCCAGCTCCTGCGTCGTCTGTCTGGCCCGGTGTTTTCTCGGAAAAGGGCAGGAATAAGGGAGTGTGGGGCACCTAGTGACAGGGGCACCTAGTGACACAGGGGTGCCCTGGCCACCCTATGGCACTTTCAGACACCTTGAGGTGGCTAATCTAAAGGTCTTGTGCTGTGAAATCATGTTCAAGTGAAAGTGATACTTTGAACAAAATATTTTAGCCCCTAGAATAAAAGCAAGAAAATAATAACCCAAAATCACAGATTTTACGACTTTTTTACAAAATGTTTTCTCGCCATTCTTCCAGTAAACGGCACTGCCGATCGTTCTGGCACTTTTAATCAATAATAAGGACCTTTAGTAAGTTGTTTCCGCTGAACCAGCTCAAACATGTGATTTCATTTCCTTAATATCAAATTTTGAACGAAAATGAGCCCCCGCGGCAGGTAGTGACAGACACACTCTATTTACCGTATTTCAACGACTTAAACGTTTCAAAACATCGATTTGGCAACCGCGAAGTAAATAGTCACCGATTGTCACACAACGAAACATAAATGAGAATACTTTTAACGACAATTTGGTAGAACATTGAATTTGATTGGCAATTTAGTAAAATGCAGTTTCTTGGGGAAAATGGCGCCGTTCAGAATGGTTTGATATTTAAAAAGCTTAAAGAGTCCAAAACGGATAGTTTTCAATTAGCTGGAGCGTCGCTCTATGCTGGTAATGTGAGGTAAATGTCCTGTCACTAGGTGCCCCGGGCTGGGGCACCAAGTGACAAGTGCAGAGGTCTGCGGGAAGCTATGTAAATAATAGAAATAGGTGTTGTCAAAACGCCACAACATGTTATTTCGATCAAGGAAGGATCAAAGCAACCTTCTGAGGTGTAAGTAGATTCATTTCTCGCACAGTATCGAAGTGAGTGCCAAAATCCAAAAAGTGTCACTAGGTGCCCCACCCTCCCTTAATGTTTTTTTTTTTTCTGTGGGACTAGGACGAAGCCTCTACCGCCACTGGGAGCACGAGCACCACTGGTACGGCGTCAAGTGCAGCACCAGCAGCCAAGCGGAGGAAGTCAGATCCCCCCGGAAAGTCAGATGACAATTGAAGCCAGTCTGCATCGGTCCACGTCGTTAAAAGGTAGGCGCAAAATTTTAAAATCTAAAATTTAGTTTTGGGCGTCCCCCGTAGCGCCAGGGATCACATCCTTGACCCATTTTACAGCTGGAGGAGAGAAGGACGCAGAGCTCCGAGAGGCACTCTTATTCATGATGATGCGGCAAAACCTGCCGTTGTCCCTCCCCGATGGTGAGGGCTTTCGCTATTTTGCCAGCAGAGCAGTGCCCCTATGGACGCCTCCATCGCGTCGGACCACTACTCGCCTGATGGAGTCCAAGTACGAGATTCTGGCAGGTGTTGTGCGGGAGAAACTGCGTGAAGCGCCTAGCCTTTGCCTGACGGCGGACAACTGGACGGAGTCGCACAGCACGTCGGGGTACTTGGGAGTGACCGTGCACTACGGCGAGGGAGTACAGATGGAGAGCCTAGTCAAAGGGCTTATTAGACTGATGGAAAGGTCTGGGGTCACACTGGGGTCTTCTTGGGGGACAAGATGTTGAAATGCTGCACTGACTGGGCCATCGATCCCCTGCGTGTGACGGCCTGCATCACGAACAATGCCGAAAATATATAACAGGAAAAGTAGCGATATACATCGGCAACTTTGGCCCGTCCCGTTCATCAGGGAATGTGCGAATTTCACCTAGGGTCAGGGCGGGGAAAAACTGGACAGGGGAAGAACTGGACACCCCACATTTTACTTCAAATGCCGTATGTACTGGCCTGACAACTGTCGTGTATTAAACCGCTGATGCCACGGAACAACTTTTGATAGTTGTTATTCCTGTGCCTACGGTATTTGAAGTAAGGGAGTATGGGGCGATTTGTAACAGGGGCGATTCGTAACAAATGCGTTTATTAATTTAAGTGGAGGGAGCAGAGGAAACTCTGAGTATGGCCCCTCTTTCACTTCAAGTACAGGGTCCTTGAACAATCGAAGCGGATGTGATCGGTGCTCAGGTATAGTTTTGGAGGGCGTTTGAAATATAGGGTACACCGAAATTTCGGCAAACAGGGAAAATCTTTCATTTTGAGTTCTAGGTAGTTTCTGTCTGAGGCTCCCCAGGTGTGAATCACCATCGAAGTACCGTTGGGGCCTTGAAGCGTGACCCCTTTACATTGTAACCACGTGGCATAAGTTGCTCTTAATTTGTCCAGTGATAGTTAGGCTCGTATTTCTTGCGTAACAGGCATTTGGGGTGATTCGTAACAGACCCGTATAAAAACAAGACTTTAAGTAGTTTTTGCAATTAAATGCTTGAATTATTTCTCGAATCATCTGCTGCCTTATTCCAATTCATTTACACAGCTCGAAATGCATTTTAAAGCGAGTTATTCTATTTTTTCATCTAAAGTTGAAAAAAGTGAGGTTAGGATTGACAGAGCCGATCAGTTAATGCTGAGGCGGTCAACGGCAGCTTGTAATGTAGATTTTTAGACGTCTGCAGGACACCCGAAGAACAACTGGTGGAGGAGATATCATTCCCGACGATGTTTCGTTTAATGTGTAGGATGTTATGAAAAGCCGCATGGCTGTTACAAATCACCCCATGCTGGGGCGATTCGTAACAGCATGCAAGGGTTTGGAAAACGTCTTAGATTTCAAAGATTACGGACTCCAGATTGATCCAATGGAGCTGCACAGTCTAGATGAAGGGCCAGACTGCTCAACTGGCACAAGTTTGACACCGATATGCAGAATGTTCTTAATTTTGTATAGAGAATTCCAAAATCTGTTACAAATCGCCCCATACTCCCTTAAAATATGGGGTGTCCAGTTCTTCCCCTGTCCAGTTCTTCCCCGCCCTGACCCTATGTTTAACCCTGACGGGATTTGAACCTGAGTCTGGGGTCAAAATAAATGTTATTTTCGTCATTAGCGCCCTCAAAAACATCAGAAACAATGCAAAAATTTGAATAAAAAGAATGTCCAAAATATACCCCACTGGGATTTGAACCGGGTCCAAACTTCTCCGATTCGCTTGAAACTGGCACCGTTGGTTTTGTTTCGTCGCCCCGATTCCAAAAATACCCCTACATGCCCTCCTAGCTGTATCCGTTGCCGAAATCCTCCTCGACCCCATGTAGACCATGATGCACCTGCAGCAGCGCCCCCGGGGCTCGGATCGGATTTGCTGCCACCGGGCGATTCTTAGGGTCACCCAAGGAGGCTGCATACCAAATTTGGTCAAGATCGGACCACGGGAAGTCCTCGGACGGACGGACGGACGCACGCACAGCAGGGATCATACTATATGCCCATCCCTCCGTCATTTTTTTACAAAAAATAAACAGGACGGGCCAAAAACTGGCTGTCAAGCTGACCTTCGGCAGCAGTAAAGTACTGCCATGCTTCGACCATACCCTGAACTTGGTCCCGAAAGTGGCCCTGTTTGAGAA